GTAACTTTAAATGGATGATAAAGGTATATGACTGGTGCAAACATGATACTCATTACATGCGTGTTATGTAAGAACGTGACAACATACCACACTCATGATGTGCTCGCATCCAGTTGCTATCTTCACTTATACCAAATTCAGTACAACGAGTGGTGAATGAACGACGAAGGTAAGTGATACGTCTAAACAGGACCATCATGACATGCCTTTCATGTAAAACATGACTACATGCTACGCTCATACCGTGCTCGTGGCCGTTTCGCTGGCTTCACATACACCAAATTTGGCATTACGCAACGTGAATGAGCGGAAATGGTAAATAGAGAGTTTTAGTACCGCGGAATGGTGCTACGTACGCATCACGCAAGTGCCTTGCGATACGTGGCGTCGTTTTCCACTAATTGGCTTTTAGTAAGCCGGAGTACCCGCGTACGTAACGAGCGTGAAGCGTGTTGCGTCATCTGGTAGATCAAAATAGAAGCACGTCTTGTTGACAGCCAATGTGAGCCAATCCAAGTGTTATAGCCAGATTATGGCCATATTTTGAGCCACAGAGCCAGTCGGTGCTTGCCTTTGATGCCGCAATTTTGCAAAACGAAGTCTATCGCTGTCGCGAACTTGTTCGAGAGCAGCGCGATCAACTCATACGTACGCACGCACGCACGCATCTCATGTGTGCGTACGTAGCGGCTGCGTACATAACGCGATACGTGCGCGTTGCGGTCTGCGCATGCGCACTACGCAGAACGTGGCGTCCTTACGTACGCAACGCCGCCACGTACGCAGAGTACGCAGTACTAAAACTCTCTAATGACAGTCCAAACATGATAATCGTGATATGAGTGTTATATGAAACATAGCTACAGGCTACGTTCATAGGGGACTCGCAGACATTTAGGTAGCTCCACATATACCAAATTTGATATTCCGTTACTTCAATAGACGACGAAGGTAAATGACCCATCCAAGTGGGATAATCATGACATGCGTGTCATGTAAAACATGACTATACATGCTACGCTCATAGCTTCCTCGCGGCCGTTTCGCTGGCTTCACTTATACCAAATTTAGGATTACGTTACGTGAATGGACGACAAACACAAATGCCAGGTGCAAACATGATAATCATTGTACAAAAGACATGTTTGGCATAATTTACGTCCACCTCGTAACGTTCTGCTGATTTGAAAGTGACATATCAACCTTCCTCATTCGTGCTTCGCATATCATCGATTCCCATTGTACTAGAGATCTGCCCATTTTTGGTAGGGTTTTGTTTTGTTTTCTAAGTGATAAGGAACAGCCATTGCCTTCCTTAAGACGCTACGTTTTCTATTAACTTTTGAAATAATACAGAAAAAGGGACTCACCGCGTGGTTGGTCGCTTGGTGTCATGATTTTGTAACAGAGTATTGGGTAATAAAACTGGGGATTGTTCCAGGCATAAAGCACATCGGCGCAGACGTCCGCACCACAGCGTGCAGACGGTGGTGCATTTCCTCTCATTTCGTCATGATCTTTGGGACAGCTGCTACAGCTGACTTTGCTTACCTTTTTAATCTTTGTGGATACAAGCCTAAGTATTGGCCGGGTTGCTTTCGTTGAAACGGGGCTCGCCGCTGTATGGGTTATGCGGCTACACATTGGCAGCGTGTGTGTATACGCTAATTTACAATACCGTAGGCTCTGTGTCTTTGTTCCCGACCTGGTTTCATAAGAATATCGGATACATGTGACAACCATGATATAATTAAAGGAATGTCGTATTAGAGTGCTCTAGAAATTTCCACTTTTGGTTATTTTACGTTCACTTATATCTAAGTATGCGTGTCTCTAACATTTCGCCTCCATAGAAATGCAACCGCCGTGGCCGGGATAGAAACCGTGACCTTTCAGTCAGCAGCCGGGCATCGTAACCAGTGCACCATTCATTCATTCATTCATTCACAAAACTTTATTTGTGCCCTGAAGCCCGGTATTTTCAGACCGAGGCGGGTCACGTCGACGTCGGTACCGTCAGGCCGAGCCTTGTGGCGTCATCGTGGACCTTCTGGACTGCCCGTAGTTGATCTTGATAAGACGCGCTTCGCAACATCGTCTGCCAGTAAAGCCATTGTTCTTCGGGGTCGGCGAGAGTCGCGGGACAGCCCGCCAGCATGTGTCCTATTCCAATGATGTCATCGCACGCGTCACATTTGTCTAGAATTTCACTGTCAGGGTCAATTTTATGTAGAAAATACGAAGTGAGGTAAGTTCCGGTTTGCAGTAAACGTAGCGTGACTGCCTCAGCTCTGTTAAATTTTGCGTGTGGCAGTGGGAATCGCCTACGCCCCAAGTAATAATATTTTACGATGCCATTGTATGTGATTAAATTATCTTTATAGTCCCCGGAATAGTAGTGGGCGTCGGGTCGGGTCTGACCGCCACGGCGAGCGAATCCTCGTGCCAGGTCATTCGTCACCTCATTAAGGTTGATCCCAGTTTCGTCCACTTGACCCATATGAGCAGGAAACCACCAAATTTCAGTATCGATAATATTGAGTTTGTTCACAAGTTTAACCACAGTCCCAGCGACATAGCCCTTGTCGAAGCTCGTAATTGCTGCTTTGAAGTCGCTATAGACGTATGACCATTTTATGTTCCTGATAGCTAAATCAATCGCGGCTTCTTCCGCAACCGTTGAATCCTTAGTGAGTATACTCAGGGCGTCCCGTACCTCGCCATGGCCGTCGACCACCACAGCCAATTAGGCCTTTTGGCCTTTCATCCAGGCTGCGTCCACGACGGCCACCTGTTGTCCTACCTGTTCGATTTCTTGCTCCGGCTGGGTCACGTTGTGCAAAGAGGACAGCATTTTTTTGAAGGGGCAGATGGTTTCTTTCAGACAGTAGGCTTGAGACCACATTGAAAAAAAAAAACACGAGGGCCAAGTTTGTCTTAAAAGTTCAATAACGTCTTGTTGTTATTCCAAACAGGCCCCCTCGCAACATGAACCAACAGCTTCTTCCTACTGCCTTCAACTCCTTTTAAGTCCTTATGGTTAGGCACGCCCTCCGAGGCAAGACTGCGGCAATGAGGAGTCATGACCTGCATAAATTTCCAGTCAACTTGACCAGTAGACACTGTTCACGCTAACGCTGATGTATAGGACTCTAGTAATAACAATATGTACAAGAAAAAAAAGCAATAAGTGCAAAGAAGAGTCCTTTCTGACGAAAGGTGGCGCAGGGCCCATTTTCTTAACGAAAATTGAGACTGAGATGTTGCTTACGTTTACTGTTTACTACGTTGAAAATGCACAGAAGGGTTGCATATGCTTGCCATTCACTATGTGACGTGTTAACAGTTTAAAAACATTGTATAACCCGCAATGTGGCGCTGTGGCTAATTCGCGATGTTGTGCTGATTGTTGCAATTATGTCGTCGTTTACGAAAGATATAAGGTCATCCCCCCTCTAAAAAATGTAGTAAAGCGATGCTAACAGGTAGATAGGGCACCACTTGGCAGTGCGTTACACCATTCTTTTTTTTCTTGCTACATTTCATGCCACGAACACTTGTGTATGTTACTTGCGTCCCGTTGGGTTCTACGCCCTTAACTCGCATTAAAAATACCGCAGACAAATATGGTCGTGGTTTAACCGAATTCTATAGTTTGCACTGTGTAGGAATCTGCAGCATTGCAAGTTTCTCTGCTTCGTAGTGAATCACAAATTCTCTTACGAGCGTTTTGCTACAAAATATAAGCCTCTAATTTTCACAGCTGAATATTCAAGCAAGGCGCAGTGCTACTTTGGCTTATTTAGGTGCCGTCACTGTTGCGTACATGAGTGAGTCTTCGCGCTTCTCGAAATAAATCCAACTACATGAAGTAACCACAGCGATGTACACAAGTGGGCAAAAGTATTCGGACCATGGGAGCGCGTGCCGAAATCACTGTCGGCGCCGTGCGCTGTCAGGAGCATTGCTTTGACTGAGTTGTTGTCGAAAGCATTACTGTGATTGAATTCATCTGAGAAATGTTCTTGAAAGCAGGCGACTCGCCACTACACGCCGTAGACGGTAAAGGTGTACGGATGGCAATGATCTATACACTAATGCTCACGGGAGTAAGGGTGCGTTGCTCAGGCCCAGTGACATGAAGCGGGCGCTCTCTTGTGCTTGCTGGCAAGTGTTTTCTTTTTTGATGTTGACTCAATGAACAATCGCTAAGTGAGAAACTTTCTTCAAACGCTGTCCGCTTAGGCCTTGTGTTCATCAAACTTTTCATGGTATTTTTTTTTGAAAAGGAAGGTGAGCGAAGTTACCAAGTCACGTCTTACGTTAAAAATGCAAGCAGACAGACACTTACAAAGAGATTGTTTAACAGACGGTACACATGCGCCACGCAGTGACCACCATCTCTGTCGCCTGAAGTCTGGGGACAGAGATATCGATCAGAGGATAGTATCGATCGCATTGTTTCTGCAATAGGTGAGCAACATACTCTTGTAAATGCTACAAAAAGTGCTGACAAAAAAAATCTAAGATGACAATAAATGAAGACTTAACTTCGGAATAGTCATAAAATATAGCATAGGTGACTTTGTTCTGCATAATTGTGCCCGAAAATGTATTTGAAAAGGTGATTTAGCAGTGTTAAAGGTAAGCTGTATCGGCTACTCTTTATTACTGCCATTATTTCGTGTGCTCTTTTGTATAAGAAGGTCCTCAACTGTACTGATAATTGTTTTAAAATAACATTTCATATTATTTTTCGGTAGTAATGTTTCATTACGTTTCATTTTATGGCACTTACCTATAGGGTGAGAGATTCATGTATACAGTATTTTCAGATTACTTCTTTTGTAATTTTGAAGACTGGCCGTATGTTTTTCATTTATTTATTTTACAAGTATCTACCTCTAGGCTAAAATATTATTATTATTACTGATAATATTAGTAATAATTGAGGGGTCGTTACAGCACTCACTTCCAAGTCGTAATTGAAGAGGCTAAAGTGAAGGCTTATTATGAAGCGATGTTTATTGAAGGAGAGTGATGAAAAATGAAGGCACTGAAATTTTCCAGCATTGTACTAGAAGATGAAGAAGAAGAAGAAGCACCGCACTGTAAAGACGCCTACTTCTTTTCTGCCCAATATTTGCATACCTATATTTAATTACACAGATTTAATCAGGTGTTTTTTTCTCAATATCTAAAGAGATCGACGTGTTTACGTCAGTATTAAAATGATTTCACATGAAGCCCACACGACAAGCACCTTTTACAGGTCCCTGAAAAATGCGCACGCAGGCAGTAGAAATTTCACTGAGTAATATACCTACAAGGAGCGACAAAAAGGCTTGTAGCACTTTTGGTGCACTTGTTTAGGTCCTTGCCTACCGCAAAGCAAATTTCTTTTACAGCGACTTCATTCTTTCTAGCATACTTTTTTTTCTTGTCATAGTTGCTACAGACTGCGGTGCAGTGCGGGGCTGCATATCTTTAAACGAAAACATCACGCGTGTCTTCTAGGTGCCTCGTTGACGTTTACCACCCACGAGTCCAGATACGAGGACACTCACACAAGAGGAAGAAGCAGACGGGAGGAGTCCTCCGTTCCATGGAATGGCAAGTCCACTGGCCGTCCCGTCTATTGCTTTCTCTGGCGCAATTGTACTTGCCACTGTTTTCTTGCTCCCCCGATACATCGCGACAGCACTCTTCCCTCCAAGGTCCCCCGTTTATACAACGCGCGCTCAGGAACGCAGTCTTTGCCATAATAAAATATACAGAAAGAAACAAAAATGGGAGGCGGGAGGGATGGTATATCTTGAGTGTGATTGGACGAGGTGTGGTGGGGCGCGAAACATTGTGCCAGGTATGGGAGACCTGGGTCAAAACCAGCGTATATATAGCACGCATGTGGCTCGGAGCCGACATCGTCCGCGCGATACAGAGCGTGGTACGGTGCAGCTGTCGTGGTCCTAGCGCCGGCATAGGGCTGGGCCGTCGGTGGCTTCGTGGCCTTGTTGGGGACCACAAGATCTCCGCGTACCGCGAACGCGCTGCCAAATGCAGTCCATCATCAGCGGCGCACAGAGCACGGCTTTTCTTTGCTTTCTTGTTTTTTTCTTTTGTCACACTTTGCTCGGGTAGTAATAGGTGCGCACGTAGCAGACGCATGCCGCTGGGAAGGCAAACTTGGTCGGCTTGGGCTCGACACGGTTGTCTTCGGTGAAGAGCGCCACAAGGACCCGGTTCACGTATTTGGTGGCACAGCGAGTCGAGTGGCCGGCCGGCAGCATGTCGTGTATCCGGTCGCATGTGCCGCCTTCGTTTCTGCATAGAACGAAAAAGAAATCCCTGTTGGAGGAACGCATGGGCACAAGGAAAAAGAATGGGCGCATCATAGTCTTGGTCGCTCTTGCGCCACTAAACTAACTAACTAACTAACTAACTAACTAACTAACTAACTAACTAACTAACTAACTAACTAACTAACTAACTAACTAACTGATGAGTTAATTGATTATTTATAATAATTATGAATATTACTTACTTACTTAATTAATTAATTAATTCAAAATTATTCATTAACTAACTCGAAAAACCACAGACCAGTTCGAACAAGAATCTTGAATGCTCATAGTGACCGAATAGCAACGGCAGTCAGAGGACGAGCGTGGCGGTGTCATCAAATATAAACTTTCCACTAAATCACTCTTTGATGGACAAAAAGAAAAGTTGTAACCATCACAGGCAAATAAATGATCACACTTATATTAGCGGGGACGCTGTTACTTGTCAAGCCTGTACACTGTTTAAAAACCAGGGAAATAGCCCATCATACTGCGATGATACCGCACTATGACGTGGCCATGCTTGTCATCGTCACTTCAGGAGCGACTCGTCGCACAGACGTGACAGTGTGAATTGGACAGGTGCTGACCCAATAAACGTACAAACGGACACGAGCTGAATAGACCGATAAACACATAGCTTTAGGTGCGAAAGGTAGTTTTTGAAAAAGCGCCCCAACCCTAGTCAAAAACTCTCATCTCCTGCTTGACTCAATCCTAGCGTAACAAAGGGCTTTTGGGACTTAATCTTTTGGGGCCCCTATTCAAAGACTCTATAATATTGTCATGCACAATTGGATGCATTTTAATTTGAAACATTTGGGCCATAGTAGTATGCGCTAAGGACAAAGGGAATTCAGGAAACTGTGCGCCCGTTACTGGTGAAATATTTTTGTCTCTGCTTTTTTATGATTAGTTAGAGAAAATGCGGCGTGTGGAAAAGAGAGAGAGAGAAAAAAAATAAGCGCAGTTTCTGTAGCTTCTTGAACATGATTTGACAGTTGTCGCGAAATTGTCAACTGCAAGCACATAGGTCTCACTAGCTTCCCGTATACCCTCTGGGTATTCTAATATACATTTATTGCTCGATATAACGAAACCAGTTTTACGAAGCTTCCGATCAAACGAATAAATTTTTATTTCTTGGCAAATATCCGTAGGGTTAAATTTTGTCCTGGATTCGAATTAACCAAACAATTTGGCCACAAAACCTAATTTAACAATGTTTCTTTTAAAAAGTTGAGTGAAAGAGGAATGATATTTTTTCTAATTTTGACAGAGATGTTTTTATTTGTTAGCTATAGCGCTTTCGCGTTGAAACGTGTAGGAACCTTGGACAAGGCCATTACTTTATTGTGGCGAGACTGCACGCCAGCCACACTCATGCACGCGACAATGAAGAAGAAGTCGGTGGCTCTCATACGATTACCGGGTGGTGTGTGGGGCGGCCCTGGTAACTTTCGTTATTCCGTGGGTAATGCCACAAATGGCACATACCCTCTCTTAGGAACTTTGTCACTCGGCCTGCTCGTACAATCACTATATTCATTCTCTGCATCTTCTGATATCGATTGCTTGACATAACTTCACGTGACCTGGCCTAAACTACCCGGGCATGGTGCCCCTCACGCCAGGGGCACATGGGAGACTTCATGTCGGGGCCCTTCTCGGCCCACTACCGCAAACGTTTCGCACGCGCAGGCGTGAGTTGGTGACAAAAATAATGTCGTGGTAGCTTTTGCACTAAATTAGAAATTTAGGTCTCGAAGGACCAAAATTTGTTTCTCACTTTTACGGATTTCCCGACTTAACGAAATCATTCTAGCATGGTCAACGCTTCGTTAAATAGAGCTGCAAGTGCGTATCACTTTAACAGCACATTCTAAGTTTACGGCCCTATACTATGGCTTAGAATTCAATAAAATGATCGTGCCAGTTTATCGCTCGTTTCGCAATAGTGGCGAACAGCGCTCCGGTCACCATAGTGCAACTTCAATTTCACGACAGACCGCCAACGTGCGCGATATTTCTTAAGGGTAAACACGAGACTGACGTAGTCAAAACATCAGTTATATATGCTCTAAGGAGTGAATTTTCTCTCTGTTTTAGTGGTCGTATTTTAATACGTCGGGATGTAACCCACTTGAATTATTCGAATCGCCAGTGATTGTACTGGCTTAACACATGTATGATGCTGAAATTTGTCTTTGTGGTGTGACGCGTGTCGTTTATCTATGATTTATGAACCATCTATAGCTTCAACGCTGCTGCACTTCTCATTGGATCACAAGTTCCGCTTTCACACTGTTCTTGAGAATAAGCATGCCCTCATCAAATCTTAGTTTATAAACTATTGTCACACTACTCCCCCGCCATCTCTCTGTCTCTGATCGCGTGCTGACGCAAACACATGTCCAAGACCCAAATTCGATGAGGATAATCAATAATGTCTGAAATTTAACGTCCCAAAACCATGATATGTTTTAGAGAGACGCCGCAGCTCAGGGCTCCGAAAATTTTGACCATCTGGCATTTTATAACGTGCACTGTTATCGCACAGCACGCAGGCCTCAACTATTTTATCTCCATCAAAATGCGACCTCCGCGGCCAGATTCGAATCCATGACCTTCGGGTCAGCAGCCGAGCACCCTGCTCTCCGTGGCGCACCCGATGCCGATAGACAAGCCCGTATGCTGTACTGCAGCACCATGTGTCACTTAGTGAAAGTATAAGCAAGACAGACGAATGATGGTTGGTTGGTTGGTTGTTCCTCAGAGTCCTGTTGCAACCGCCACGGGGGATTGGTTATGAAACAGATGGTACATCCTTTTTGAAATCGAATTGTTTTACCAGCCGGGATATTTAGATAGAGATGTTTGAACAAAGAACAGATTGGTAGATGATGGATTAGAAATATAATAAATAAAGGTTGAAAAAACCCATCAAACTAATATGGTTCGAAATTAAGTGAATTTATGCCTCAGCTTAACATTCTATTCCTTTTGTTTCCTTTAGAAAATCGTATACGGCCTCGCAAACGTTCCTTTGGCTAAATCTCTTTTCAGTTGCTCCTAAGAAAAGGACCACCGGAAGGGATAAATTTAAAGCAATTCTACGGAGAGGTTCTTCCAACATTCGTTTTTTTATTTGTAAGTAACCTACACGTTAAAGAGAAATAATGGAGAGATTCACTCTCGTTGCAGTAGAAGCATAGTACAGACTGTGTGAGACCAGACCTGCGTAGATAAAAATTATCGGGGGGGGGGGGGGCGACACGGCATCGTTGTTCCGTAATTGATATCTCCGCCATCATAAAGGAGCACCATAGATTATTTCCAGGGGTACTGAAGATGAGAAAAATAAGATGTTGCCCAGCGAGATTTTTCAAAATTTTCTGATATGACAATTTTTTCAAAGCGTGCCCTGACGATAAATGCTAGCGTCAGCAATATAAAAATTATGGAATAATTATGTGAGGATACTGCGAGTGCATCTGCATATTCATTTAGGGTTGAACCTTTATGCCTTGGTATCCGCACCAAGCAAATTAGTCGTAAATATCTTGGGGTAAGGACGTAAAATACTTCTAAAGCATGGGACATATTAGGCGCAGTTAATGAAGTACACAAAGACAGGCAGTCTGTAAGAATGATAGCGTCTGTTATGGATTGAGAAAATTTCCGTAACGCTAAGAGAGTTGCAAGATATTCCGCTTGATAAATAGGCGTAAAATCATGTAAACGAATTGAAAAACACCAATCCAACACTGAAGATACAATTCCGACTCCCACCTTTTCTTCGCAAACTGAAGCATTTGTTATTGCAATTTTTATTTCTAATCTTGCCAAGTGGTATTTCAAAATGGCATTTAGATACCTATTTAGAATATGTTGGCAATTACTATAAAATATATTGCCAAATTATATTTTCACTATTTGCATAGGTCTTCTGAGTACCAGAACTTAGCGACGGTTTACTTGTAATGTTTCCAAGAGCTTCTGTACGACGATGACTTGTGGGCGCCTTAATCTAGGCAACTGTTGGTTAAAAAAGGACGTCGGCTCATTAATGAAAATGTACTGTGACCTCCTCTGTGGGGATGCATATATTTTTAGGATGGTACAAACTGATGCTATTTAAAAACTTGTACAAAGAGAGGGCAAGCGCACTTACTTATACAAAATAATAAGTGCGACAAATTTAGAGAGCCCAAGACATAATCGTAACGCTTCACGTTCTAGAAGTACCTGTGGTCAAATTTCGTTTTGTGGTCAAATACATACAATATATCATGACCAGCACATCACGACGTAAACCAGATCGTTTACTGCTGAGTCTACGAAGCATCCCAAGCGCCCGGGCTCATTTAGATGCCATATTTTCTATAGGCGGACTTCAATTTAGGTTTTTAGTATAAGTAACTCCTAAGTATTTATTCGATTTCACCCGCGGGATAACGTCCTGTTTGTAAATTTTATTACTTATTATTTTATTTACAGGATAAATATAGCACGCGGAACATTTTCACAATATATTACGCACAGAGATTGCCACGGACACACAGGTTTTAACGCGGTTAAAAGGAAAATATACAGTGCATGACATGCAATTGCGCATAGCATAATACATATATAAGTGCGTACTAACATAACTTGTGTACTAACAACGCAACGTCACAAAACCAAGAGTACAAATATGGCAGGAAGACATGCTATAAGTTCTTTAGCTCCCATAAGAATGACGCCACTGTCGCCGCCTCCACAATCCCGCCAGGGAGGCGATTCCACTCGCGTACAGTTCGTGGGAAAAAAGAGCCCATGTACAAGTTTGTTCTGCAAGAAAATTCCTGTAATTTTTTTGAGTGATCCGCCCACGTGGGTCGTCGCACAACTTTTTCTATATACGCACTTCAATCAATGCCAAGCTTATCGTGGTAGAGCAGATACATATATTTTAGTCTTTCGCGATATCGCCGCAAA